ACAAGGCTGGCTCAGGAAAGCCAGCGTGACCAAATTGGTCAGAGGTGATGTCTTTCAGGAAAGAAACCTGGCAGTGCCTGTGCATGGCCACCCACCTGTCCTGGACACGCTACTCCTCTTGGCACCAGGAGCAACACGTGCTGCTCTGCAGTCTCTAACTCATAGCCTTTTCCAGACGATTGTTTATTTTACATGAGGAGACAGCACCTTGTCCTGCATAGTAATTTGTGTGTATTTTTTTGGATTGACTTCTATAAGTGTCAAACATTTTATCTCTTACTGTTGCAAGAATCAGTAACTTTTCGTATGTCATTCCTCAGTTTGTTTTAAATTGCACCAGTGTAACAGCCCAACTGATAACCATCAGTGTTTCCTAAATTACTGATCAATATTCTCAGCTGCAGATTCAGCAAGAAAAGGAGGCAAATCATGTGGTAGGGGTTGTGGGAGGAAAACAGAGAAAAAGCTAAAGTTTGGATTACATAAGTTGACTTTAATGGAGCAACATGAAAATGCAGCAGAAGAATATTGGACCCCATTTCAGATGTGTCATATGAAAGTAGAATTCAGGTCCGATGACGTGGTGTTTCATATCCAAGTGCCTTTGACCTTAGTAGCTTAAGCTGGACTGAGTGATCTAGTGCCTAAATACGTTTTCAAATTTATGGTATGGCCATGGCCACATTTTGTCAAACTGTTATTGATTCAGTAACAGAAATACATGTTTTTTTGCTGCCTCTGTCTCAGGACCACTTTAGGGCTGCAGTTTGACTGAATAACTAGTTGGTTGCTTACTGGAAACTAAGCTTAAATCTCACAAGTCAATATTTATGTATTTATCCGTTGTTACATGTTGGTCATCAACTTCATTACATCCACTTTTGACCCTTAAGTATTTCATCACATAGATTCATAATGCGGTATGTCATTTTTAATAATGTCATGTATGATGCTCTCTCAAGGGAAGGATTCTTTCCCACATACATGTTTCAGGGTGGTTTGTACAATAACTGAAACTAGACTGAAATCTGATGTAATGCGCTATCAAAATGTTCTGTTACATTTCTGTTACAGTATAGTACACTTTAATGTAATTTTTCTTTTCCTGTGAGAACTATGACTAATTACTAAGTTAAAAGCCAATCATAATACCCAAATGGCAATATGGCAACTATAGGGATTTTTGTTGTCAACTTTGGTTAGTTTGTTTAATGTTATATGCAGCGGAAAAAGGGAATGCAAAGAAAGAAGAAACCTGAAAACCACTTTGTCTCATTTCAGCTCAATAAAAATATGAGATTACGTTGCTACCAACAGCACTTCCTGCTTACAAAATTGACAGTGAATATTATCAAATTAGGTTGGTTATTATGTCTTTGACAGCATATGGTATTAATGGATTTCAGAGGCTGATAAATGTGTTTGTAGAATAGAAAGGCCTGTGGAAAACCTAAGAGATGGAAGATTCAGTTGCTAACTTTAAAGGCCAGCTGAACAGGCCTAGTTGCATTTTCCTGTCCATCATCTCGTCATGGTCAATGCTTAATGCTAACTTCAATGCAATAATAAGGGATGCATAGAAGAAGTCAAACACATATCTCATAAAACAAAATTTATCTTTAATTTGTAAGTGTCAACAGCAGTACAAAAGATGGAGTGATGGTGAATAGATTAAGGGTAGAGAGGACAGTCTTGAGGTAAATGAGCATAAATAGGCAGTCTTATAGACACTCCCCTGAGGGGTCTAAACCCCTATCATGGCATAAACTGTATCACCCAAGGATGACATGTTTAACATATCAGGAAAGCACCTTGTGCAAAAAAAAAAAAAAAAACCCAACAAAAAAAACAAAACAAAACAAACCAAAACAAAGAAAAAAACCCACCCGAAACATGTAGGTAAGGTGCCAACATACACCAGAACATACTGTATATGAACAGTGTCTCTCAATTTTGTCTTTTCCATTAGTAACTGAGGCAGAGGAGGAGAAGACTCTTAAAAGTACCACTGAAAGATTATTTCATATTTAATTTACCTCACGTCAATACTGCACAACAAAATCCAAGAAGTCTGTTTATGCAATGAAGCAGAGCTAAGAATAACTATTCTCTTTGTTAAATTGAGAACAGACTTTTTTTTTAAATCAGTATCCTTAGCAAACTTTTTTCTATTTTTTTTTTTTTTTTTTTTTTACTGTGTCAAGAGGAGAGTGTGAGATGTGATGGCAACCTTTAAGTTCATTTAAAAACTTTACACTGGACTGTACAAGATTTTTTTTGATAAACTATTTACATTTTCAGACTTTAAAACATATTCAAAGCAGCAATAGACACTAGTTTTTCCTCTAAACGCCCAAATAATTATCGGCCATGGGCCCAGGTAGGTACCTGCATTGTATATAGAATTTCTACAAAGAAAACCTGCCCATTAAATTAGCCAGTGGGTGTCCAACGAGCAGCCCTCGCCATTAAGAGCTGCACCCACAGTGTTGCTATAGGAAATCAAAGCATAGTACCGTGACAAGAGAGTCTCAGTTGTCCCAATAGCTCTACACAAACTTTACAATTTGAAACAGCAGCTAGCATGTCAGTCCAGCATGTCAGTGAATTGTGCTGATTAAATTAACATAGAGTACAATCTCACAATATACATCACAAACAAATTACAATGTCAGGAAATAAGAGTTACAGTAAGATAAGTTATGTAGTAACAGCTTATAAGCTTGTCTTAATGTAATAAAAAAATTTTTACATGGGAAATACAATAATGAATGAACATAAATGCTAAGCATTCTAGTTTGCTACAAGCTGAAGAAGGGTACAAGAAAAAAAACACATTGCTTTCTAGAAAGCAAAACACAAATGACAAAGGAAGACAAATGGAGAATGCACACTAGCAGGTCTGCAATGTGCAGCATACAAACAGTTAAATATTTGCACATTCCCCATACTCCAAGAGCACCAAGGACCTCACTTGTGGTTTTTAGAAAGCGGAAATTACAAAGCAAGCCATGTCACTAAGTTGCTTTATAGCTTTCATATTGCCATAAATAACAATTTGATAAGTTTTCCTCTAGCCCAGTTCACCCCATCCCACCCCCTTTGTACCCAGCGTGTGAAATCTCAGAATATTTCTTTGTCATCATCTCCATCAAATCTGGTAGTTAAAAAAGGGGAATGGATTAAAATTAAATGCATTTGCGTATACATTTCTTTTTTCCTCCTGTGGCAGGACATTACAGGATATCAAAAATGTAGTTTGATCTCAGAAAAATCATATTAATGGGTTATATGAAAAAAAGGGGGGGTTGGGGGAATTTTTTTTTAAAGGAAAAAGTGTTTTGTAAAAGATCAAATGAGATCATATAGTATTATTTAAAAGAACATGCTTAAGTGCCAACCTGAATCTTAAAAAAGCATGCAAAAAAGCAAGGGTCCAAGCCCATTCATTAACATCTCATCAAAACATGAAGAACGCTATTATACATTCTGCTGGCTGCATCTCCAGTGCAGTTGTTCACACCATGGCCCTGGCTCAGCAAAGTTTGCCCTGCTTAACACCAGCGCTTTACTGGTCATTATGATGGCCATGGAAGTACTAGCAATGCTTAACAGTAAGCAGGTAGATAAGTGTTTTGCTGGGGGAGGATAGGGGTGTTAATCTTGTAGTATGTTTTGCTAGGAAATGATTTTGTAATGCCATGCCTTTGATACGACCAAAAAACAAACCCAGAAATTCAACCCAGAGAGAGGACTATCTTTTAGATTGCACTGAGAGGTGGTTGTGTTTGTACTTAGAACAGGAACTACCCACAGCTGGCTGCTGTACACTTTGCACAGGGTATCATATTTATTGTGACTAAAGTTGTCATTTGGCATTCCCATCCCAGAGCAATCCCATCTTTTGCCCTCCCCCTGCCTCATACTGCACCTGAGTACACTGATTTAGGAGCGCATTGTAATCCCATGTATTCTCAGCAGGCGGTTTCACAAGCTAAGTGGTGAAGCCAAAACATACAGGCAGACCAGAACTGGGCCAATTCGTCAGTCATTTCTCCACGTAAACCTGTACCCTGAAAAGCAGTACTGTTTCCATTAAGACTTTCATCTTCCATTCTTAAGGATTATGAAGTGAACTATTTGAGGTGTTATCAGACTGTTTTGGGAGTGTTCTTCTCTTGAAAATAAGTATTTTATAATTTTCCAAAAAGAAAATATATTGTATCTGTTAATTAAGTAAACTGTCCACAGAGAAAATAGTATTACTATATTCATGCGTTACCTGAATGGAGTTGTTACTTTTTTCAATCAGAATTATTAAGAGGGGCTGAAACACAATGCTTAAAAAGCAATTCTGCAAGTCCTCTTTGTGTACTGTGTGAACAATTTCTCCTGGTATTATAGCTTAATATGACAATAACATGATTTAAGGGAAGTAGGAAATAAAGGTTTGATATTATTAAGTCTTGCCTTCATTGCAAGGGCCATCGTGGGTATGATAACCTTCCAGGGGTATACTTCTGAATTCCAAGTTAGGCAGTTATTGTTAGGAAGTAAAATATCTCATCAGTTTTACTTGGATTCAGAAGACTAATTGTGTTTCCTATCAAATGTATCAGAAATTTGGTATGTTTAATGTATCAACTTTCTAAAAAAGAAAAAAGTATTCTGTGTTTCTGGAATACACTATTAAAAATCAGTGAGAGCACAAGTGAGGCGTCTTGCTGTCCCAGCTACAGGTCCACAATACTGCACTCACACTGCGGGTGTAAATTCAGCATCTACATGAGGTACAGTGACTTGTCAGCATTTAATATGGACCAACATACACTGATATAGAACAAAAGTAAATACATAACTTATACTTCACTAAGTATCCATGAACAAAAAATAAAATTCTATTTCCTATGTTATATTTACACAATTTAAAAAAAATCTAAAATGAGATGGTAAATTCATTAAAAACTTTGTTTTCAGCTCCGATAATAAAGTACTGTTGGTTTTACCCTTATGATTGTCCTTTCTTGATTTCTACTGACATTTTAGAGCCAATGTTGGCTAATAAATAGAATAAAATGCTCACAGGCACGATTCAGATTGAAATATGTTCCTCCCACTCTCCCAGCCAATAAATGCAATTTTTAACCAGCCGGCAATTCCTGAACAGCCAGTCATTTTCAAGAATGTGGCTTTAACATACAAAGCATCAGCACGGAGGCAGGGCTGGAGCTAAAACAAAGTGTTCATACATACATGTACTTTGCATAAATAAATGAAATAACAAGACATAAAAATGACTCAAGTCCGGCAACTGTGAGGCAGGCCCACACGAGTCGAAACAGATGACTTTTGTTCATGTAGTTTTCGTACAACAGTTTCACATTAGTCAGAAGTGATAAAAAATACCATTTATATCCAGTGCTTATAACACTTACGAAACAACATCTGTGAGTGTGTGTTTTTTTGTACTACAAGCAAAATCAAGTTTCAGTCCTAAAGAACAGTCCTTTGTTCTCCACAAGCCTGCAGAATATTATTTTGGCATGGTCATAAAATTTAAAAAAATTAACCAACTAACCTAAATGTTTGCCTTTGCGCAAAAAAAAAAAAAAAAATTACATAAAATACAATGCTAGCAATACAGCATTCTACCTATGCAACAAAAACAGAAAAAAAGAGAAAGTGACATGGGGGGGGAGGGAGAAATAATTCTAACTGGAGAATTATGTAAGACATTAATAAATAGTCATTATTTTAGGAAATAATGATATCCTCCCCCTCATCTGAGTTGAATGAATTAAAACCAGTTCAAATTCCCAAGCAATAATAACAAAAAAACACTTTCTATCAGTACCTTAGCTAGCTTAAAGAGGGCGCTCACCAGCTAACGACACAGAATATGCCTTTAAAGTCTTGGCTAGACCAGTTTATTGCTTATTAGACATGGACTCAGAACACAAATAAATATTAAAAATATAGCATTTTGTTCCAAATTACAAAATGGTCAGAGAAATTTGACCATTGTGTTTCTATGCCATTTTCTTTATAAATTGAACAATCCCATTTGTCTTGGGGGTTGTCTTACACACAGAATTGTGATTCCTACAGTGGCAGCAACGGCTGTCTCTGCCCAAATAGGTATTAGTGGAGCTATGAGGAAACTGACTGCTCCCAATACAGCATCTTGTCATTGCAGCTTACATGAATTTCTGCGAGAGAGGATGATAGTACAAGGACAGCCAACATTAACACTGTACTTTCATTGTCTGGGCCCTAAAAAAGCCTGTTCACCTCTGTAGGAAGATTCCCACAGACTTCAAGAGGAGCTGCTCTATGCCCACTCATACCTCTCAGCCTGAGTCTGAATTTATCACCAATGTGCTGAACATATCCAATGAAAAATAAAAGCTAAGAGAGTGGAGGAACTTCAGCTTCAGCACATATATCATCAGGCCCATTGAATCTGCATATACACATATATATACAGTGATGTATTTGTGAACAGGAGTGGAGTATGAGGGGAAAAAAATAAAGGCAGTTTCTTCTCTGTCTTAAATGCAATCAATTTGCAGTCTTCAAATTTCTATCTCTTGTGTATTTCCCAGATTTGTCTCCAGCAATTGCATTGTTTCTAGAGGCAATGCAAATACAAATTTTAGTTTCTATAGCACCTTACATCCAAAGATCCCAAAGCACTTGACAAGCATTCATCCATATCTGGCGCACATTTCCACATGACTAGTATTCAGTAAATACATTTGATGCACCGTTTTCCCAGCTCTGCAAGTCAGGTATTTTCGTGGCTTTCCCTCACCCATTAGAAGTCTCACATATAAATCACTACATAAATACTTAAGGTAGCAAACAGTTCCTTCAGGTGACAATAGGAACATGATATACAGAGCTATGATTCACTGCAGGATTCTACAGGCCCTAAAAGTTCATCATGATGGATTTTATATCTGTCTTTGCTGTCCAAGTATAGAGGTTTATAACTATAAACACAATTCTTTAGGAATATTGGTACTCTATGTACATATAAAAGAACTCACTTTATTTTGCATTACATATAGCAGAGTGTTTCCAAGTGCTCCTTGAACATACAGTGTTACAGGGACAACTGAATTTCTCATTCATAACTGTCACGATCATTTTAGTAGCAGGTGCACTTTTATTTTCATATCCCTGTGTGATTTAGGGGAGGAGAAAGAACGTGTTCTTTAAAATATCAGTAAGGAATTGTAAGTGTAATGCCACCAACAGTACTTTTAAAAATAAATATTAAGTATTTGGACCCTTGACATTCTGGAATGAATAAATTATTTAAGAGAATATGTGTTAAGACTGAATGCAAGGGTTAAAAGCAGAAGGGTAGAGAATGTAATCAGAGGTGGCCTCACACTGCTAAGACAGGCCTGTCCATAGCTGGTGATCGCTCTTTTGTGCTTACTTAAAATGTCACACTAATGGCACATCAAGAGGCAAAAGCAATTGGGCACATGCACTATGGCAACCATATTCACTACTTAAGAATATCCTGTCTCCAGATTCCTGAGTACTTTACCATATTCTGGAAAAAATTAGGTTTTATATATAATTTTTTTTTAAGATGCCAAAGGATTGTCTAAGACTTTACAGTGTCTCCTTTAAGACTTTCTTTTTTTGAATGTTAAGATTCAAAAGTTATGAAAAGCTTGGCACATCAGAAGTTCAGCTATACATATGGAAAAAAAAATGGAATTCAGAGACTATTTTTTTCAAGACAAGCTATGATGCACAGATGTGCACACTTGTGGACTTGTTCTGTTTCGCAATATGAAATCTGCAGTTTTTGTTTTCTAAAATAATCCAGAATAAAAACACATTCACAACCTGTAGGCTGGCACAGCATACCTGAGTGAGAATGTATAACCCCCATCTAAAACAGTAACTTAAACCTTTATCAGCATCCAAACGGAAAAAAGACAAAAGGTAAGACTTGTAAGACAGCTATTGATTCATATAAGTTTTCAAGTCCTGATGTCTGATATTTAATATATGTCTTCATCTAAATTAAAAAAAAAATCCAACAAAACAACAAAACAAAACAAAACAAGTTCATGAAAAATTAGGGTAACAATCTGTCTCACACATTAAGAAACATTTAAGACCATTCTGCTGATGTAACTGTAGGAGCCACACATGCATTCAGGCTCTTTAAGAACTTTTGTTCAAAAAAAACCCCAAAAAATCCAGTTGAGTCTGAGTAGTTTAATTCTGTGAACACTCCTCAGTTGGCACTGACTGCCTCATGGGCTTCATTTTCACTACTATAGTCTGATTTGGGATCATCCTCATAGTCCTCGTACATTTCTATTTCATCCTCTCCATTTATCATTTCATTTCCAGCAAGGCTTCCGCTGTCCGTCTTCATACCATAAGTGCTCTGAATGACAGGGATGCTGGGCTCAGGGCTGGCAGAGGTGCTCGAGCAATCTGATGTCATCTGAGGTGATGGCGTGGTAGTCGCCATGGTAATAGCACCAGGATAGACAACCCCCGTTCCTGTGGTGATTGGAATTTGAGGCTGTTGTCTGGAAGGAAAAACGAGAGGGGGACATGATTTCCTGTGTTCAGAGGAGGGAAAATCTTCTACAATTCCAAATGAAAGAAAAGCGTGTAGTTTCCTAGAAAGCATGCATGCATTCCTCTAGGGTTCGCAGTTAGGTCCCTTATGGTATTGTTTCCTCTTAGCTCCCCCACAAGGACAACTGGTGATTAAACTGTTCAGTAACTAGCAGATGTTGATTCTTTTATGCATTTTGTGTGTTTGTTTAAAACATACTGCAAACCAGCACTTGGACAGAGATCATCAAAAGGCTTCGGGCATGCATGTGACGCCTGACTGCTACTGTAGATATCATGCATCCAATATCTAAATCCTCCGAACACCTGACAAGAGCTTTTGTTAGTGAGGGGACCTCAAAAGTAAGTACCTAAAATGGCAGACAGGTGACTGAGTAACTTAAATTTACTGTTTAAGTGCTAGGTAGACTCCTACATCACTCAGAAAGGCTTTTGATATTTTATTGCTGGCTTCCGATTTTTATTTATATCCATGATCAGGATGCCGTTTATTCTTCAGGATTTAATGTGTAAGACTGAGGGTTTTACGCAAAATACTTAAAAAAAAAAAACAACTAATTTTTTCTATGTTAACAGACGGTCTACAGAAATTAAGATTTTCTCCTGAGCACCTGATGTCAGATCTGATTTATTTTGACAATGCAAATACATGGGACGACTCAATTAAGGATGTACTGTCTCTATTTTTGACACATCTTACCTTCTGATATTTGCACTATATGATGTGTATATGATTTTAAGCACAAAGGAACAACAATATCACACTTAAACTAAAATAGGCTTATATCACTGCCAGTCAAGAAATTCAACACATGCTTTACTGTAAGCATGTACTAACTGATGCAATGTCTCTTCTTACAGTGATGTATGTATACTCAAATGCTTTGCTGAGTGAAGGTCAGGTTGCTGAACCTGTTCTATGATCAAGCCCTTACTGGCTACAAATTAATTAAATCTACATCTTACATTTAGGTCAATTAACTAATAACATACTTTCTATATTAAAATACACATACAAATATTCTCATACAATTTCTGGATCATTACCTTTAGTTAAAAAAAAAAAAGCTAAGAGAAAGAGAAGGGATGTAACTCATCTGAAGGAAGAGAATCTCCATAGTACCTTAGATGCAGTATTGAATGAATATACTTCAGCACCAGCATTACCTCTAAGTGCCCTGGAAGATGGTGGTTTAGTATTAACTAGTTATTGAACATAGATACCTATCTGCGTAATTTATTTAAAGGATCATAGATTTCAATGTATTCCCAATCATCTTTAGAGCAATATTGACCAGGTTAATTAGACAACTACTATATCATTTTAGCATGAGAAACAGTGTCAAGTTTATTTGAATAGTCTAATGAGTTAAATTTCTTGACCACTGTGTCATTCTATGCTAAAATTCAAAAGGACATTCCATAAGCCAGTCTCTTACAAATCCATAATCGCTGGCTAAATCATACACAAAATAATGTAAAGCTTATTGACAAGACCCGTAATGTGGAGTCTTCATTGTTCTTTGATCAAATTCTGATTTTGATAAATATCGCACTACAGAGCGAAACCAGAGTCTTTCAAGTTTGAGAACTAATACTGACAGTCAAATCATGAACACACTGTGTAAGATAATATTAAAATAGCATGTAGCTCTGTCATTGCTGCTACTGCTAGCCTGACTCTTAAAGCCTCTGCACAGCTTGAGAAATTCGAACATCTGTTGTATAAGTATGGTACACCTGGCTAGCAGCAAGCAAAAATATTGCAGTAATTCATTTGACAGAGTCTTTATACTCCTGTTTGCAAATGATGATTTGCAGATGATTTACACACAGCAAGGAATTTTTCACTAAATTTTCACTTTTTAAATGATCTGATAAATGTTCTGTGAAAACAATTTTCAACCAATGCATTTGCTTGCAAGTGATTTTCTGCAAATATCTTTCAATACTTTATCCATAAAATTGAACACCCACATCTCATGGGAACATTTCTGTTTTAGGATTGCATGTTATCAGGAGTATAAACTATTACTGTTAAAACCCCACATTTATCTCCTCCACAACTTCAAGGCACAGAAAACATTCACTTTAATGACTCTTTCCACAAAGCAAAGGAAAAAGAAACCCACACATGGTCACAGCAAAATTCTACATAGTTGTCATCAGACCATACACACTTAATTCTCTCTAATCTGCTCATCTAACAAATTCTGGTACTAATATTTTTCCAGTATTTCTTAGAATAAGTAAGTTCACAAAATACAGCATCCAAAATCATTCATCAAAGAACACCACAATATTAATGCCAAAAGATGTTCTGAGAGAAGTTGTTTTTATAACTCTTCCAGTAACAGTTATAGAATATACTGAGAAAATAATTGAGTGTAAGCTGTTCTTGCATTATAGAAGATGCTAGGGATTGGGACCCTACTATCCACTGCTATCACTCCTCCCAGAATATTTGCATTTTTTTAGAAGCAAATTGCCTTTTTATAAACAGCAAGAAGGAAAAAAAATCTTTGTTACACAGGGCTGTGAGGGTGTCTTGATAAAATGATGGCTGTCAGTGTTTAAGCCCTAAAGGACAGACTGCATTAAAAAAATCAGATATTCTTTCAAATGCTTATCAACTCAGAAAAACCCTTTTGTATAGCCACTTTTCAATGGGACAGGGTATATTTGTCCAACTACCACTCATTTCAAAGTATAAGGAGAGCAGGTCATCTGAGCATAATAAAGCAGAATTTAGAGAGATAACTTTTCCTTAAAAATGCACCAGAATCATGGCAAACTGTATAATGAATCTAACTGGTAAAGATCTTGATTAGTGTGACAGGAAACTTAAAGGCTCACTGAATTCATCATTCGTAAATTCAGTTCTTTTTTATATATTAAACAAAAATCAGACATGGTGTGCATGCGTGCTGGTGGATGGGTAATAACTGTGAGCTTTAAATTACCTGTATCTCACTGTGGAATAGTAAACATGTGGTGACTGTACCACCTAAATGGGAAGTGTTCTCAAATTGTCAAATTGCTATCCTTTTGCTAGCAAAAATTTGCTAACACTCAAACATGGGCACCCCCGCACTTCCAGTAACTGGACACCTATTTCTCACTCAAGCATTTTTATTATTTAAAGCTGATAAGGTTGTCAGTGTATATTCTGCTCAAGCTGCTGCATTACATCACAGAAAGCCTTATTTTAAGATATAATGAACTGTATGGATGGCATATATTACTGGAGATGAGTGTTACCATTTTCTAAATAGTTAAATTTTATAGGATGGGGAGGGGGAAAGAAATCAGAGCATTTATTTGAATTCTAATCACTCTCCCTGAAAGGAAGATTTGGATTTTCTAACCTATGACTCTGACAATTTTTTTTCTTTTTTTTGTGGTTTTGGGTTTGTTTTGTTTTTTGCTTGTGGGTATTTTTTTTTGTGGGTGTTGTTTTTATTGTAATTTTTGGTGGGTTTTGTTTTTTTTTTTTGGTTCTGGTTTGGGTTATTTTGAAGGCATTCGCTTCAGTGGTATTTTTTAATAATATTAAATTCTGTGTTTAATCCTTGGGCCTAGCTAGATTTTTTGCCTTTCCTAAGACCCTAGAGTAAGGAGATAAAAGCATACTTATTGCAAGCTACAGGTTACAATTCAGCTTAGTTGCATGCGTCTAAAGCAGCGTGTTCTGCCTGGTTAAGATTTCCAGAAGCCAACATTAATCTTTTTATCTCTTCAGATCTGTGAGGAATGGTGACGCATGGCTACGTACACTGTCTTCAAACACACCTGACTCCATCATCTCCTCCTTGCCAAAGCAATCTTTGTGTCCAGTTATTACAGGTTGTTTGTCTCTCTGCTCTGCATCACTGCTAACATGTCTGTCCATTCTGGGGCCAAAGATGTGGCCCAAAATAGGTAAATATAAAAAAGGAGGTAACATGAAAATTCTTAGACCAATTGACCTGCTCACAGGTTTGTAGCATTAATCTTAGGATTTTCCTGGCGAACACTCCACTTCTGACTTTTGCAAAACTGGCTAAACATTTAAACTGGCAAATTACAATTGTTTTCTGGTCCCTTCCCAACCATTTTCTGACAGCCCTTTAAGTGATTGAAGCAAAATCAATTGCATTAAAGAAAATGCTTATGTGTTACACACCCCTGAAACTTACGTTCCCGTAAGGAATGAAATAACAGTAAATCTCACAAAAGCACCCATTGTGTACTACTTTAAGTTCAAGCTACAGGAGTATAATATTACAACCTTATTCAAAACCGTAGTCTAGCAACATTCAGACTATGTGTGTACAGTAGTTATAAACACTGTAAAGGCTTTATTCTAAACATCTTACACTGGTAAAACACACACAAAGAGTTACTGCTTACATAATTCTTCAGAGAGATGTATATATCATATACTTGTATTTAGAGTGTATTGGATTGTAAAACTGACTGAGAATTGAATTATTTTTGTAAGACAAAGCAACAAAAGACAGAGTCTTAACTAAAAATGTCTGAATTTATGATTTATATATGATCCATCTGTTAGTTTGCATTTATTCATTATAAAAGAAGTACTATTGAAGATAAATTGTAAATCACTTGAAGTCTGTTCAGGGATTAATTTACACTGAAGTTATCATTCACAACTTTCCATTACTAATTTTATTGTTAAAAATAACTCAATTACTTTAAAGACATAGCTGGCTTCAGATTCAGCTTCCACTAGATTAAAACCAGTAATTTTTTAATATACTCTGCATTAAATGTGAATTATGTCTGTATATTATCTGCCTCATTTGGAACAATATCCATTCATGTAGGGATGCAATAGAAAGTCTACACACAGTTTAAGTTCAAACACTGTTCTTTAAAATATTTGCCAGTTCCTAGATTTTTAAGCTGGTCTATCACATGACATTTATTTCAGAATATTAATTTCCTCTCTGGTTAATTTCAAGAAATCTTCAATCATTCAATTCTTTGGAAGCTTTTCTTTAAAAATCAGAACAGAACTTGGCCATTTTTTACCTTATTTCTTTATTTTATTTTAAAGCCTGGCTAGCTTGTATATTGAGATTCTTTAAACAACCTCTGTGCATCTTACTAATGTTTATCATGAATGAATCTCACTGAAGTAAGCAGTATGAGCATTTTTTGCATCTTGAAAGTTCAAGCAGTGTACAACACTTTCTGTGTTTGGGAGGTGGGAGGGTACCCGGTGGTGTTCTAGTTGTACACATTGCAGAATTATTCTTTGCTAGCCAATGGCTCACCCATGGGGATCTGACTGGAACTAGCCTTTATTGGGCTGCTTAAGCCATAGATTTACAGTTAGTAAAAGAAAACATCAAACACAAATAAGAAAGAACATAATTCCTGCTATTTATATTTTCCTCTAGCTACTTGTTTTGAAGGTTTACCTTTCTCTTCACACATCTCCTATTTATGTTTTTATTCTGTGATGGTTTTATGGTTGTTTTATTTTCGTTTTTCTGTTTTGGCATACCTGTTCCCAACATAATCAGTACGTTCTTTAAAAAAAAAAAAAGGGAGAGAGAAAACCAGCAGGACTTCAAGCAGTACGAAGCAATTGGCACTAGACTCGTTTGAGTCTATTTTGGACTTTTGTTCTCTGTCTTACAATGAAATATTTACTGCATAGTGTATATTCAATCCTAAAACCCACATTTGTCTCCTATTTCATTGTGAAAATGAAACTGCACCTCAACTCTCAAGTCTGAAGAATGGCTTATGCTGCTTGTTCCATTAAAACAGTGGAAAAACGATGGGTGTAGAAGGTCAGCTAGGAAAACTGTTCCAGCCGATGCCTTATGTGATATTTACCTTAAACACAAGGAAGAGTAAGCTTGAGAAGTTGACAGGCTCAATTATCATATTTCACTTAATTATAATGTGATTAGGATGAAATGTTGCTTTTTATTACTCAGTAAACTATTGTGATGAAATAAATTACGCCATGTTTTATGTTTCTGTTAAAAACGAAACAAAACAGACAAAAAAACCCACAACCCCCTCCCCTCCCCCAAAAAAAACAAACAAAAAACCCCCAACCCTACTCTAGTCTGTTTTTTTTCTGTTTTTTTTTCACCTTTTTTGCTTGGTTTCTTCCAAGAATTTTGTTTTTTTTTTTTTTTTTCTTGAGGGTAAAGGGAATTTGGGGCAACAGTGGGAAATCACAGAAAAGCATGAAAATATTTTCCTAAATCATAGCCTGTGTTTCCTCATTATCAAAACCTGTATTCTTACTGAACTGCAACACGGATCTCATTTCACCTTCACTGAATGTATCCATTAGACTTCATACTCCTCCTTTTTTTTTTGCATAACTAAGTGTACAGAGTCAGTTTACTCTTTACTTTAAAACTTCTTCTACATGGATAGAGCATGGTAGAGAGGACTTAACATAAATATGAATTAGAACCAGTCCTTTTAAGAAAACAATGAAATTCTTGTGGTCTTTCTGATCATACTGTTTGATATATGAGAAAGATGCTACATTTAGGTTGCACCAGCAGTTAAATTTTGAATAGTTTTCATTCTTTTCTTTTTCTTCTTTTTTTTTTTAATTCACAATATCACTCTTTAAGTAGGCACTTTTAGGAGTTTCTTGAATCTTTTTTCCATATTCACCTCCATATTTAGCCACTACTTCCAAAGTGTAAAATGCTACTGCTTAATACTGTTTTCAATTAGCAAACAATTCTCAAATTGTCCAGACTGCTGTTTTGGCATTTCTTTTGCATTTGCTATCTAGATACGATTTGGTCTGTCAATCTGCTTTGAAAGACATAAGATAGAGTTTCATTCCTTCAATATGAATATCATTTGTGATGGCTTATATAAATTCAGATTTCCATTTAGAGTTCTATGCACATTTTTAATGGAGCCTATTAGTGAACAATTTTGCTTAGAGTGAAGCATAAAAAACAATGTCAAAACTATAGAATGCAAGGCTATTTCAAGATACCAGAAACACTTCTATTTACTGATTGAAGAAAAAGCCCACATTATTACAGGCTGTACCACAAAATAATTGACTGCAACAGGAGTTCTGCATCCGAAGCCAAAAATGAGGGCACATAATCGACGTCAAGGTCAATTATCTGGTAGTGAAGCACTCAACAAAAGGAGACTATTGTGATTAAAGAAATAAGCAGAACATTGTGAATTTGGAAAGCCTGGCGCTGAAGATAGCTTTTAGACTCTTTGCAAACCACCAGAAACATTGTGTTAGAACACTGAGAATCACAGATTAATTCATAAAAAACCAGGAGACAGAAATCAGTTATGGTGCAGTTGTTTCACGGGACTTCTGTTATCTTTAGCCTGTAGATCTTTCATTGTGCTGCTTTCTCTGCTGAAGACTAGAAGAAATGCTGCTAAAAATCATACAGTTTTTAAAACTGTGCCAGGACCTTTTTGAGCCATGTATTCCAAGTTGCAAATCTAACCCCTCTATCTATGCATTACTTGAAAGACACTTCTTAAAACATTTATTTTTAAAATCTATTTTTCCACAGTTTAATATATAACAAAATTCCTAATTGCCTCATGCTATGATATCATTCATCCATGTGTGTTCCTGATGTGACTGCTACTACTCCTGTCCCTTTTCTCTTTCCTGCATCTCCTGACTCCTTATTCTATGTGGGAATAGTCGTTCGTGTTTTTCTCTTTCTTCTTGTCTTAATTTAGGGAATTATCCTAGAGTCATTACTAACCCAGAACGGATTAGCTTTCTAATAACTCACAAAAGACATGGTTCAAACCTTTCAGGCTAATGGGACACAATTTCTTTTGACTTCAAAGAATTCCATAATCAGTCTCATAATCAGCATTTAGTGGCAAGCTGATAGCTCCAAATTCTGTGATATATCTTATGTTTTTAATAAGGTTTCGCAGGTTCAAATACTTACCTTCTAAATTACATTAGTCAGTGACTTAAACAGATAAGTCTATTTGTTTTCAAATGGTATGTTCTCTCTCTGAAAACAATTACAATAGTACTCACCCTACGGTAAAAAACTGCCTCATCTCCTGTCTTCGAGACCTCATCAGTTGTTTGTATTCACCAATACGCAATTTCTTTCCATCAACAATGCAGGTACGTTTTGGTCGAGGTTTGTATTTGTAATTAGGATACTTTTCTAGGTGGATTTTACTTAGCCGTGCCTGCTCTTCGTAGTAAGGTTGTTTCTCTTGATTTGACATGGACTTCCAGCGAGATCCTGTTAACACAAAACATTATCGAGTGCTTTACAAATACGTATTTCAACATGCCTTTTCCTCATAATAAACAAATTTTAAATAAGTTAATTAAATAAACCAATTTGAATTTATATCAGATAGCACATACATTGGGATGCAAAATCTGAGACACGTTAAAAGAACCTTGACTTTCAGATATTGCTACAGATCAAACATATGTGAATCTCTATTAAATAGGTGCACTTAAAATCGTTACTTCTGAATATACCAGCCTCGTGCTGAAAAACAGGCTATTAATTTTTTTACAATATGAGCATTAATCTGTGAATAATTCCATATCTTTGTAATACCACACACAGTATTATGGTTAAATAAGGTCTACAACTATACTTTTGCTGTTAAAAGCTTAACACATTGCCTGGGGATACATGCTTCTTTGATAGTTTTATGGGGATTTGGTTTATAGACTCCTACTAACAGATATTAATACCTTGCTATGTAGCAAGAAAAAAATATCAAAATTCAACAAAATTATGAAAAATTGTTTGCTGTCTGCATGTCTTAAATTTACTAATCTTACAATATAAGCTTGGCAAATGTGCTGGTTTTGCCTATGATAAAGTTACTTTTCTTCATAGTAGCTAGTATGGGCTTTGTTTTGAATTTGTGCTGAAAACAGTGTTGATAGCACAGGCATATTTTCCTTCTTGCTGAGCAGTGGTTATGCAAAGCCAAGCCCTTTTCTGCTCCTCACCCCACCCCACCAGTGAGGAGGCTGGGGGTGCACAAGGAGCTGGGAGGGGACACAGCCAGGATAACTGACCCTAACTGACCAAGAGGATATGCCATACCCTGTGGCATCACATTCAGCATATAAAGCTGGGGGAGGAAGAAGAAAGGGAGGGGATGTTCAGAGTGATGGCATTTGTCTTCACAAGTAACTGTTCCATGTGATGGAACCCTGCTTTCCTGGAGATGGCTGGACACCTGCCTGCCTATGGGAAGCAGAGAATTAATTTCTTAGTTTGCTTTGCTTGTGCATGCAGCTTTTCTTTTACCAATTAAACTGTCTTTACCTCAACCCAGGAGTTCTCTCACTTTTACCAGTACTCTTCCCATTCCACCAGGAGAGAAGTGAGTGGCTGTGTGGTGCTTTGTTGCCAGCTGGGGTTATATGATAGCATATTATTGGCACCTTACTATATTTTAAATCCAATTTGCATATTATCTTCAGGTACTATAAAATCTCATTGAAAGCTGCACCAATTAAAAAGTTAAAAAACAGTGTACACAGGAAGAGGAAAAAGTATTCAGATTTCTTGTACTGTTTATAAGGAGCTATCTAAACACTTGAATAGAGAAGGGATATTTTTTTTTTTAATCTTTTTTTTCCAAGGGATAAGAAATGCAGAAAATAGCTTATTGGTGTCTTTTAGATGAATAAAACAATTACAGCTGTGGTAAACATGGGTGGAAGCTATTCTTTTACCAAGATTTTTCATACATCAACAAATGGAAAAGTTGTATAAATATTATCTGTAGCCAGCAATACTCTCTGTCAGTTCTAATATTTCAGTCTCTTTTCTCATTGTCCTGGAAAAGCTGCACAGACATTATATGGACATAGACTTATTTGTGGCAGAGCAGATACTGACAGGTTAATTCCATGGTTAACAAACACTCAATTGCTGGCACTTCTGAAATATTTATGCTGGAAGTTTACATTTTAATGAATACAGTTACTATGCTCCTAATAGTTTTTTCACAGAATGCACACAAATAATATAGATTCACTACAGCTGCCAACACTGAAACAGTGCAGGTTTTATACAAAACTGAAAGGCTATTCATATAACTTACTTATATGGTAGGCAAAAATATGAGAAGTACCAAGTAAGATTTTGGGAGTTTTAGGACAAAGTAACATTTACTTCCATGTATTCTTGCCTCTAATTGAACTAATAAGCAACAAACTTTGGAAAGAATGTATTTAAACTCGAAGTTTACAATAAAATGATTACAGAGGAAACTTGATTTTTACTTTTATTTATTACGAGTTACATTTGGAATCTGTCTTTTACTTCAAAGACTCAGAAAGCAAATATAGGTTTTAACATTTCACCACTCATTCTCACGTAGTATGTTTCTAATTCTCTGGAGGGGTCTAAAAGCAAATCAAAGTTTCTAAAAAATGAGCCAATTTATTTGTACAGTGGCAAAATATAATCCATGGTATATTCCCTGATCATCCTAATTTACACAAATTAAATATTAACTATGGTGTCTTTTAACTAAGCAGTATTTTAATTATATACTAGTGCTTCCTTAGCTTTTTGAACATGGCAACATTTTGAATCAAACATCATTTTGCATGTAAGAAGGTATACATGTACATGTCTTTTGAACTGTGCCAGGTTTCTTTGACACTGCACTGTCTGACATAAACCTTTGATTCTGATTTTGTACTTTATTTTTTTTCTCAGTATTTACTCTAGCAAGTAGTTCAGGTGATTTCTAATGAGATCTTATAATTAGACCTTTTATCAGTACATGCTTTTGCAACAGATTTCACGAAACATTCTTTTTGAATGCTGCTAAGTCTTTAAAGCATGTCATGACTCTGCTGGCGAAAATAAAGAGCATTGGGGAAGGAGCAGAAAGGGAAAAGGGAATGAAAATGAAAATAACCCATGAAATTTCATTTGTATAAGTTTCAGTAATTCTAATTTCAGTTAACATCTCCCAGACAAAATATGTCCTAAAATGAGAGAAGCTGCGTATCCAAGGTGGAAGAAACTAGCCTGTGTCACCAATATAAATAATCTCATCTTTCCACAGCTCCAAAAATTGCCACTACTATAGCAGAGCCTTCTTTGCTTCCCTTATTTTTGGTTAAGTCACGATCACGATTTGTTCATTGTCTTGCACTTACCTAGGATTTTGCTAATGTTGGAGTTGTGCATGTCAGGGAAGGCTTGAAGAATTTTTCGACGCTCATCCTTTGCCCAAACCATGAAAGCATTCATTGGTCGTTTGATATGCGGTTCGCTACTGGCTCGGCCCCGTGAATCCCGGTAGACTCGAGCTTCAGCCACAGTGGCACCTCCTGTTGGCCAACAATAATACTGCTGTAGTTTAGCTGCAGAGCCATTCATTGCTTTACTTCCTGTAATGTCAGGGCAGGAAGAAACAAGATGGATGCAAAACATTATTACGTGGATTATGCAAGCGCTTTCAGTGCTGTGTTTATTTTAGCCTCATTCTCTTTCTCTCTCTTTTTGTTGCCAGATCTATAAGAGAGGAAGGCTGTCCAGTGATTTCAATGTAACTGATCAGGCTCACCCAGCTGAAGGCATAAAAATCTGAGTGAAGAAACAAATTGCACCGGTATTTCTCCAGGTAAGGCATGGAGATTTGAAAAAGTTTCTGTTTGGCACTTTAACATAACACACATGTTCTGAATGCTCAATGAAATTCACATAAAAGTTACACTCGAGAATCCAAACTGATGTATACTTGTTCACACAAGTAATTCACAACTTCGTTGCTTCAGCAGTGAAGCACATGCCAAATATTGCAAAAATTACATACAACACCAGGTACATGCTGCTAATTATATAGATCTGGTTATATTTGGAGCTGAACATTTTAAAGTCACATCTTCTTTAGTTGAGTTTTAGACATGTCTTGGAGCATTCAATCACATATATGTAACCATCTGCCTTCAACAGGTGCATGAACAGCATCCTGGAGCTTCTGGAATAGGAGACAAGCACTCCAGCTTCTTCATGCCTGCTGTGCTTTAATATGGCTTGGTGTCCTGTCTTTACACACTACCAATTCAACATGTACATGCTAACTTTAATTGATTTTTTTGAATGCATCCACTCCTGCTTCTTGACCACAAACAGCAAAGCTTCGTGGGTTTAGAGTTCACAGAACTGAGTAGGGGATGTAGAACTAGTTAATGCAGTTGTCTAGTTATCTCTTTCTTTTAATATCTCTAATACCAAGCCTAGATAAGGCGTGCTTTCACCAGAAAAATATTTGTAATTGTGATGATAACATTTATATTTAGGGTTATACCTTAGCTGTAAAAGTAAGGCAAAAAGTCTTTACAGTGGGAGAGTGACTTACTTAGTCTTAGGCCTCATCAAAGTGTTCGTATAATTCAATACCTTGGAAAAGCAAAGTACTTGACGACAAGCTAGCACCGCAATAGGCCTCCTTTTTTCATAAAGTATTACAGCTCTTGACATAGATTTATTTGCCAAATAATATAAGATTAGTTATAGTAAAAAATAAAAAGTCACAAGTTTTTGACTGTGCAAAACCTAAGTTTCTTAATTTAGTGGAAAAACACTTTATGTCAGGTACACCACTGAAAAAAAATCTATATGGGAAACACATTTACATGAAAAAAGCCCTAAAACAGAGGATGCATAACTAATACACTACCTTTTTGCCACCAGGTCCACAGTACATTAATTTCATTTAAAATGCACTGACCATACAGGATAAATTGATTTTGCTTTATATGGTGTTGACAGCCATGTTTATTGTGCATTGAAATGTATGGTAGTTTCAAGCTGACTGTATCCATCAACACAGGGCAATATGCTGACTACTGGGCCAGACGAAGACGTACGTTACCCTGAGAGCAAAACATTCATATACGGCACTGTCTTTTCCTGAGGATCACCGTGGTAATTTATGATGCCTCCAATGCCATTACTTTACAACTGACACCAATTTGGCAATTTGTATACTAACATGTGTGCACATAAAAGAAGACAGGTTTGTGGCAAATGTGAGATGCAGAACTATTTTAATACTGTTCTAAGTACCATGCTACAGGTGTTCAACATGCAGCTGCAGTCAGCTTTTTATTGCAAAAAGGAACAGTAGTTTTGCTGAGCGACCTGCATGTACAACCGGTTTAGGGGTGTGTATGGCTCATGAGGCTCTGCCCTTTGGTGGCAGAAGGCTTGCAAAATGCATATCAAAGATACCATCTTTTGAGAGAGGATATATTTATTGTGAAACTATATTAAGTTACAAACATAGTAAGTCAACACTGAAACATTTACTGAGACAAACAGTTATACAATTTGAAAAAAAATCAAATATATCACGTAACGGTTGTTCCACCTTTTAAAACAATACTATAAAAACTGTAACTAGTATTAGGAAGTTGGTGACAAATTGAAAAAAAATATTATTGATGCAAAAAGTTGTCATTTCTTGTACAGCTACTCACAGCAAAGAAAAGAAAACATATTTGAATCCATACGATGATTTCCATCTTTACTTTCCCAAAGGTACTTATTCACTGTGGCTAAGGAGTTTGTCTTTAGCCGCTTCTAACACAATTTTGACCTAACCTTTTAATCTTAGAGCAGGCAAAGAGTACCTTTACAAGTATCAAGATTAAAGATTATAGGTTTTGGTTTGTTGGTTTGTTGTGGTTTTTTTTTGATATAATTGAGATAGAATGAAAAAAAAGCAGCATACATGATCTGTTTTCAGATAAAGGTTATGTTAGAAACAATTCTTACTTGGGGTAATAAATTACAACAACCCTAGGAAGGCCAAGAAGCTCTGGCTGCATCTGCTTTAAACAAGTCCATACTTGAAGGACTTGAAAAAGCAGCCAGAGAGTTGATGTTCTTTGTGCTTGATCTCTAGGGGAATATTTGCAATTTGACCCATAGGCCATCACAAAAGCATCTGCAAAATGAATTTCTGCAAATAACTAAAGTAATATAACCTCCATGTTCTTCTAATTATTTCAGAACTACAGAATTATATTCAGTATATAAAACATTACAAGAAAATACTGCTCTTAGTGTGTGATTCTGTGTGGGGAGCCAGGAAGTCTCAGTACCTTTTTAGCTTAGAAATGAGGCACTAATGATACAAAAAGCACATATCCTTAGTGTTTTCACAAGTTGAAACACATAAGAACAAGCTTTCAAACTGGTTGTTCTTAGGCACTTCACCCTGTCAGTTAGATATTTAGACAGTATTGTGTGCTCTATAAACAATTTCAACAAGTTTTACAAAGTATGTATTTTTTCTTATTGTGATAATTATAGTACTGAGAAAGGTGGAAAGAGTCCCCTGAAATTTTTAAAGAAAACATATACATACAACTGCAAAGAGGTAGGTGATTTACTTCTTTACAAAAATATTTTCAGGAAAGTCTAATACAAAATAAACCTCAAATATTAGACAAAATAAAAATGTATTACTAATGAAAGGTGAGAAGGGAGGAGAAAGTTGGTAATTGTCTCTGTGGCAACTGATGCGCTATCAGCTAGTTAATGCTCATACTGCAATTGCAGGAGGAGTTTTTGATTTTCAGAATTAAGAGCTTGGTCAGAATTTAAGATTATTGCAAAAGCAGTACAGTTTGGCTGCCCTAATGGCTTAGTTGGCAAAGTCTGTACTTCAGCCTAAAGGCTGGGGCTGTTCTCAAAGTGACGCTTTAAGCTTCTGAGGGTGTAGACTGACTCACTTCCTAGTTACTTTGCATTTGCCCAACCTGTCATGACTTTGATGATTTAAAACTAAAAGCAGATTAGTGAAGAATGATCACTTTTTGTGGATATATGGCAGACAACTCCTCCCTGAAAGCTGGATTCCAGACTAGACTCCAAGGACAGTACTGGGTCAGAGAACACCACAGAATGCATCTGGAAATGTTACAGCTTCCTTAAAGTAATTTCAAACAGCAATTTTGTTCCAAAAGAGACTGTTCTCTAATGACAGTGAGGGGAATGAAGAATCCCTGTTCTTTAGGTAGAGAAAAGAATCTGATCATCGGCAGGAAACATAAACCCCCCCCCCACATTTATACATGAATGAATTCTTAAGAAACATACAGTAACAATTTTTACATTATTTATTCCTGCCTTTATCTGAGTGTCTCACTTTATATAATGACAAGAATTTCAGGACGGGCACCATCTCTTAGCATGCTCCCTAAAGTCTTTGCCACATTAGGGTTAATCATGCTGTCTTTAATGAGATGTGGTTTTACCTTCCATTTTATATATCGTCTACCACAACAAACCTCAGACTAGGTCTTTAGATGTTAACAGAATGCAAATAGTAACGTGATAAAAAGGAGCAAAAAAAGGGGTGAGAAAAAAGATGAGGAAAATAAAATAAAAGAAGTAACATCAAAAATATTTTTATCAGTCACTCTTTTATACTTTAATTACTCTTTACACTATGGCCACTGATTCATGTTTGAAGTGATACATTTTCTTTGACTCGCCCGAGATAATGAATCTTTGGCTACACCAGAGAATAAAATGGATACCATTATCCACAGGCATATAACAAGATAGGACATATGGAAATAAAGACAGTCTTACCAAGTTCCTAGTGCAGAAGTGACTGGTTAGTAGTAAAGCTCCTATAATGAGTTATTCATTAAGCTGAGATGACAATTTTGTCTACTTTGGAGAAGACTGGTTGCAACCCCCAAAATACATGGTCCTGTCTGTGGTAATACAAGTAGCAGAGCTAGCAGCTTCTGTTGCAGAAACCAGAATCTAATGAACATGCAAACAGAAGTCATTCTTTTCATACTAGAGATGGGTTACTTATAAACATGGAAATGCCATAAAAACAGGGAGCATGAAAAACCGGTTTGGCTGTCCCCCATCCTGCTCCTAAGTTGTGGACAGACGAATGCAGCTTTTATGAAAGATATAGCAATATTTCAAATCAAATAGAAACTGGAAAGAATGACAAAAGAACATCTGGAAAGTTTAAAATACAAGAACAATAATTTAAATATTATTTTCATTTATTAAATTCAATTTTGTAGAAAAAGGAATAATTCACTGTAATCTAAGTGACTTGCAGTAGTGTTAATATAACATTTATCGATTGTGTCCCTTGCTTGCCTCTTACTTCTTCATCCCTGTCCACATTCAGAAGACGTTCTCATTCTTTATTATCAGCAAGAGAGGCAAGATAAATTGGTATCTCATGAACTGTTGCCATTACGGGCATGGATTGTTATTACTAGGCAAAACTAATACCTACTTGGAAACATAACTAGTTTCAGGATGTGGATGCCTGTAGTCACACAGTGGCATAAATGTTCTGCAGGGAAGTGTTTGTTTGTCAAGCTGCTTTCATTCCAAA